TATATATATATACACACATACATATATATATATATATATACACACATACATATATATACATACATACATATATATATATATACATACATACATATATACACATACATACATACATATATATATACATATATATACATATATACATACATATACATACATACATATATACATACATACATATACAGACATACATACATACATACATATACATGACACATACATATGTATATACACACATATATATGTATATATATATATATATATATATATATATATATATATATATATATATATATATATAAAAGCTTACAAAGATTCCACTGATTCACTCAAGAAACATCACAATCTTCTAATAAAAATAAAAACCCCATAAACCAGATAACCCTCTCCGACCCATTATCTCACTAATTCCTTCCCCTGTATAACACATAGCTAAACAAATTAACAGTATAATCCAACCATGCATACCTAACAAATACAACATCAAACCGACTAACGATTTCATACAAATTTTACGCTCCACTACCCCTAATAATTGTATAATGGCATCTCTAGACATCAAAAATCTTTTCACTAATGTTCCCATCCATGAAACCATCAAAATAATTACTAAATATGTCTATAACCTTCCTTCAATTCCCCCTCCTGCCAAAAAACATATAATCCTAGAAAAACTATTATTAATATGCACCATACAAGTTCCCTTATACAACCCACTAGGAAAAATATATACCCAAATTGACGGTATATCTATGGATTCTTCTCTGGGTCCTACTTTCGCCGAATTCTACATGTCACACATTGAAAATACTATATTTAATAACCATATAAACAAGCCTACTATTTACACCAGATATGTTGACGACATCTTTATAACAACTCTAAAACAAGATATAATTAATAAACTTAAACAAACCTTCAAGGAAAACTCTATCTTAAAATTCACATTCAAACTGAATATCAACACCAAAATACCATTTCTTGACATGCTCTTAGACTCTTAGACTTAGACTCAAAGATACATTTAACACATCAATATTTAAATAGCCAACAAGTAAAAAGTCCTGCTTACTCATCTTCCATGAAGAATGTCCAAATAAATATAAAATAGCTCTAATCAAAAAATAGAGCTTTTCACATCTCCTCATCTAGGACAATATTTTACAAAGAACAAACATTCATCAATAACAACTTCCCCAATAAATTAGTTGACCAACATATAAAACACTACCTTTCCAATATACGTAATAATAACAAAAAAAAAAGACAGACAACAATAACACTATTAAGCTTTTCTATAAAAATCAAATACATAGCAACTTGATAAACTAGCAATAACACCAGCACTGATACACTAAACACATCCACCAACACAAAGAAATTAAATTAATAATACACTAAATTTAAAACCTCAAACCAAACCAAAATAATACTACTCATCCCAAATCATTCCTCAATAAAACCAATGTAGCGTATAGGTTTACTTGCTCATTTTGAGAATGTTTCTCACATAATGACCCTAGCACATACATCGGATACACAACCACAACTCTTTCACATAGGGTCACATACCACCAGCGCCATAAAAAATCATCTTGTAACAACACACTGCACCACCAGTAACCCATTCAAATCATCTAACATAAAAATCTTAATTAACAACACCAAAATCGTCTATAAAACCAATTGCAAAAAAAAACGATTACAAATACTTGAAGCCATCCTAATTAAAAACCAAAAAACCAACATAAATAAAATAGCATTTAATACTGGCAGAAACATCTTAAACATAATAGTTTAATAACTAATCCTCCAAATAACAAACATCAACCCTCTCCTTATTAATAATGAACTAAATTCAACAATATTCTCTAAATACCCAACAACTTAGACCCAAATATTAAAAAACTTGTGAGAAAGCAAGAAAAAAATGAAAAGATCCATAGTTTTTAATACATGCCTCAGCATATATATATATATATATATAAACACACACAAATATATACATACACAGACACTCACACACACATACATACATACATACATACATAAATACATATTATTATTGGATTATAAAATGCCTTTATCAAACACCTCTACAAAAACAAGGGTTCCAGGTGTGTCTGTGATAATCATCAGGGGATATCATTACTTTCAATTGCAGGCAAAATCCTAGCTAGACTGATTCTAAATAAAATCATAATACACCTTGTTGACAACATCTATCCTGAATTGCAGTGTGGTTTTCGGTCGGTCATGGCACCATTGACATGATATATTCTCTTTGTCAGATAAGGTTCACGAGAAAAACTAGGAGTTGTACATGATGTTTGTGGACTTGACGAAGGCCTTTTAGATTTTGTGAATTGAGAGGCTCTTTGGCAAGTCTTGAGGAAACTCAACATCCCTGAAAACATGCTAAAGGTCATCATCTCCTTTCATGAAGGAATAAAAGCTAATATTGTGTCTGATGGTATAATGTCAGAATCCTTTGATGTTACAAATAGCAACAAGCAAGGTTGTGTCATGGCCCCTGTCCTTTTTGCCCTTTTCTTCTCAGTGATGCTGAAATATGCATTTGCAGACAGAGAGTGGCATCAAGTTTCAGTTTCGAACAACTAGTGGTCTCTTCAATCATCAGCGCTTCAAAGCCAAGACCCACCTTCATACACAAATTATTTGTGATTTGTTGTTTACTGATGATACTGCTCTTCTTGTGACATCCTTTGAAGTGGCTCAACATCTAATAAATCGTTTCTCTGATGCATGTAAAGCATTTGGTCTTAGACTTAGCATAAAAAAAAACTGAAGTAGTGCACCAACCTTGTCCTACTTCGAAGCAATTCTGTGGTGGGAAACAAAAACCACCAGTCTACAAATTTCCAGAGAGACCATTGAAAGTAGGAGACAAAGCCCTGAACTATGTAAAGTCTTTCACCTATCTTGGTTGCAAAGTCAACTACAGTGGAACTTTAGATGATGAAATCATGCATCAGATTGCTAAGGCTACCAGTGCTTTCAGCAAACTTCGCCATCACTTGTGGAATGAGCAAGGTATTCAACTGGATACGAAAATTCAGGTTTACAGAGCTGTTGTACTTGCCATCCATTTGTATGGCGCAGAGTCGTGGATTCCATACAGGTACCATATATGCCAGCTGGATGTTTTCCATAAAAGCTGTCTGCGTGCAATCTGTGGAGTTAACCTTCAAGATAGGACATCTAACGTAGACCTGTTTAACAAGTGTAATATTGGAGGAATCGAGACTTTTCTCATACAGTCTCAGTTACGGTGGACTGGTCATGTCTTGAGAATGTCTGATGACAGGATACCCAAGATCCTAATGTACAGCCAGTTAGATCAGGGCTACAGAAATGTAGTACGCCCATCGCTAAGGTACAAAGACAAGCTGAAAAACAACTTTTCAGCTGTCAATATACCACATAACACCCTTGAGCGCTTAGCCTTGGAGCAGGTAGAATGGAGATCAACGTGTTTTAGTGAACTCAACAGTTTTCAATCTGCTTGTCTGAATCATCTGCAAGAAGTGAGAGCAAGAACTAAAAGGTCAGCCAATCTAACAGTGATCTCATTTCACAATCCTCACACTTGCTCCATATGTGGCCTCCTTTGTAAATCACCAGCGGGTCTTAAATGCCATTTAAGATTATCACACAAAATTTCATAACTGAATCAACTAAGATGTCAGATCCTCATACATCAAAACCGACAGGAGAGTCCATTATTATTATATAACAGATCACCTAAATGAATCTTCAGCTTAATCTGAAGATCCGTTTAGGCAAAATCTAGGAACCTAGATAGGTTTTCCTGGCTCTTTAGGATATATTTTATTTATTCCCGCTTTACTTAGCATATTGAGCACTCTACTTTTAGCTTGACTACTCACTTGGGGTTTTTTCTTTGAAGTAAAGACTTAAGGCAACGGAAGATTTGTTTTGCCCTGTTCAAATGGTTTTAGTTCTTTCTTTTTTTTTCAAAATTTTTCTCGAGTATCAATTTGTTTTGGCATATCTACAAGTTGTGCTATCAAAGGTTTTTCCAAACAAGTATTACTATATATATATATATATATATATATATATATATATATATATATATTATTTCAGATGCTATTTTAGAGGATATTCTATTTATTAAACAGTGCATATTATGTCGATTGGCCTGCACATTCATTTGAGAGTAAAGGAAATGTGTTCTCCTTTGTAGGGGAAATGGACATTTGATCCAGCAGGCTTTACCATTCAGCCATGATAGTACTTCACAGTTAAACAAGACTATTTTCCCTTTTAAGGAAAGCACATGTCCTTCACTCAGATCATTTTTCTCCAGAGCCCATATCTGCTCCATTTTGTATCCAAAACACAACAAAAGCAATTGCTGAAGAATTAATGGATTTACTTTTAATTGGATATATTTTAATTACTATAATAGCATTTGAAGTAATAAAAATGTTGGATTAAAAATAAAACCATTAATTCTTTAGAAATTGATTTGTAAGTACCATATTTTCTTTTGCATCATACAGGAAATTTTGAAAGAAAATTAAAGACAAAAAAGGTGGGGGTCACATTATATACAAGTACATGTTTTCCAAAATTTCTCCTCAGCTTAAAAAAATCCCTTATTTGAAATAACAAAATTGCAAATACACTCCGTTAAATAAATAATACAACACAAAGAAGTCAGGTGTTGATAATTATTGTTTACAAAAGGTATTTGATATTTCCTCAATATTTGTTCTTTAGGAATCAAGTAATTAAACAAAATTCATTAAACAGTTAATAAAGGAAATACACATGATCTGCCATGTTTTGGTAACATTAAATGTTACAATGAAGCACCTTTCCATGAAAATTCAAAAATAAATGACTAAAACAAAATGTGAAAAATTAAATATTTTAGTGAAATCTACATATGACATTGAGATTTTAATGAATGATTGTACAACTATTTCAAAGAAAGAGAATGAAAAAGATTAAAAATGAAGAGCAAGAAAGAAAGATATTAAAATTAGAAAAAGAAAAAAGACATAAAAAGAGAGAAAAAAGACTTTAATAAATAGAAGAAAAAAGACCTTAAAAGAGAGAAAAAAAGAAAAAGACCCTAAGAAAGAGAAAAAAGATCTTAAAAAATAGAAAAGTCAAAGTTAGTCAAGAATAAATGTAAAATCAGATATAAATGATTTGAAAAGCAGAAAAAAAAATGGAGAAAATGAAATGAGCATGATGGAAATAATATAATCATTGAAATTTTGGCTGAATGAATAAGAATAAAAAGAAAGATTCCATGAATGAAATGAAAACTGGGAAAATAAAAACCAATGGTGCTTTTTAGGTAAAAACCAAAGAATAATTGGTACAAATAATTGGTATGAAAAGATAAATAAGTCTTTCTATACTTTTTATTCTGAATAATTTGGATTTCTTTCTTGTGCTAGAAATTTTATTTTTATAATTGGCATTTTTTTTAATTTTCTCTGGGAATTAGAATTAAATAGCCTAAGTTGCTATTCCTTAGAAAAGAATTTTTTGTTGTTTATAGAAAGACAACCAAGAGCAGTTCCATTTCAAGACTTAGAGCCAAAGTAATACCAGAAAAGTTCACTGTTTGCTAACAAGAGACAAAAAAGACAAGAAAAAATAATGAATGATAAAAATGGGAAAGAAAATATAATGGATAAAGTATGAGAGAGAGAGAGAGAAAATAATGAAGAGGAGGAGGAGGAAATGAAAACAAATAATGAGGGAACAAAAAGTTAAGAGAAAGAAAAAAGTGTAAAGAAAAAAATGAGAAAAGTTTAAAGAAATAAAGAGAAAGAAAATGGGAAAGTAGAAAAAAGAAAGAAAATGAGAACAGTGTAAAGAAAGAAAGAAAATGAGAAAGCATAAACAAAGAAAGAAAGAAAATGAGGAAAGTGAAAAAGAAAAGAAAATGAGAAAAGTATAAAGAGAGAATTAAACTAGAAAAGAAAATGTGAATAAAAAAGAATGAAAATGTGAAGAAGAGAAAGAAAGCTGAAGTATATGAATAAAAAGAAGGTGAGAAGAAAACTGAAAGAGAAGACAAAATAATATAAAAAGGAAAAAATTGGTGGAAGAATGAAAACAGCAAGAAGAAAAAGTGAAGAGAAGAATAAAGAAAAGAAAGAAGGTAAATCATGAACGAATGAAAGAGAGGCAAAACAGAAAAGAAAGAAATGGAATTAAAATGGTAAAATATTTTTTTAAGTCAAAAAATCTGCGCTAGAGATTTGCAAATGACAGCAGAACCATTCCTTTATCTTCAAGCCACAGTTTGTGGTAAGAGACATAGAGAGGTAAATCTGTTGTAAAGCAAAGTTAATCAAAAAAGCAGGAAAGTGCATTTTTGGAGCCCCAATGTCAAAGCATAAAACAAAGAGAAAAGCCACAAGGTATCAAATTTGGAAAAAGAAAGAAAGATGAAAGACAAGATTGAGTGGGAATGAGCTAATGAAAAAGTAAAGAAAAGGTGGGGGGGAGTAAGAGAGAAAGAGTAGAAGATGTGAGTATTAAGAGAGAAGTAGAAAAAGAAGAGATAGAGAGAGAGAAAAATGAAAGCAAGGATAGAAATAAAGTATCTTCTTTTATAGAACATGTCACTTCAAGATGTGGGCATTTATGACTCTCTATAACTTCCTATCCTTTGAATCTCTAATATTTATCTCCATACTATCCCTATCAGTCCTTGTTCTGCCATCCATTTATACAAGCTTCTTAAGTAGGTTGATCATGGCTCTCCACAACTTCCTATCCTTTGTAGCTCCAAGTAATGTTTGTATTCTTACTATCTCAACCAGTCCCTGTTCTGACATCCATTTATACAAGCTCGTTAAGTAGGTTACTTGCTGTTTCCCCTCCCTGAGTCTTGCCTTTAATATGTTTACATGTGCACAGGTAGTATAAACAGAGATCCGATTTCCAATTGCAGTTGGGCTTGTTATATTTACTCTCCTTTCTCCCAATATGGGTTAATTCATAGTTGCAAACAGTTGATATGTCATTAAAACAAATCTTGATTCCAATCTCTCCTGTGAGTGTTAAATTCTTCTCTTTCATATTCTAAATAAAAGCATCCTTTTTGCTTACATTTTCCTCAAAACTTACTATGTTATTCTAAATATCCTTCTGTAAAACTACATTCCTGTTACTTCAAGTTTCTTCATCTGTGAGGAAATTGTCAGCATTCACTGTCATATAGGAGTACTGATATTACATAACAGTTCAGTACTCTTCTCTTTATTTCTAATGAAATTTTCCAGTTTCTTAATACTCTGTTTAGCTTTAGGAAGGCATCTTTTCCTATTCCAATGTGCCTTCAGATTTCAGTGTTACATTATTTGTCATCAGTTAAAACACTTCCCAGATATTTAAATTTTCACACTTGCGTGATTTTGGTGTCTCCAGTTTATAGTTTGCATCTTGGATTGTTCACCTTGGTAACAATCATATATTCTGTCTTCTTACAATTTGTGGTTAGTCCTTTCTTCTCATTTTTTTTTACTACCTTCTCTGGAAGTTCCTGCAGTTTCCTTTCTGTGTCTGATTTATACTCACATATTGAAAGCAAAGAAAATGGTGTCAAGAGAAATCATTAAAGAGAAAAAAAAAAAGAAATGTTGTGAAGAAACTGATGTCTTAATATCAAAATAAAAGATATCTAACACTGCATCAGTGTATTCTAATAGAATTGTTCATGTATTTGCGAAATGTTTTATTCCCTGTATCTGACTACAGAAGCTACAACTTTGATCAAATAGATGTAGATCCTTTGAGAATAGAAATCAACTGAAACACACTTCTACATAAAACAGGTAACGGTTTTTCTGCGATTATCTGCACATCATTTTATCATCCAAAGGAAAGGTCTCAGACTGACCAGCTTCTTAAATTCAGATCAAAAGATGGGTTTATTTGAAGAGCTTCTTTGGAGAAAAAAAAACAGAAAGTGGAATTGGAGATACACAAAATCTTATCATGCTAAAGGTTTATCACATGCCAAACTCCTCAAAGCCAAGTTCTCCATTTGGCCAAAACTTAACAAACAAGCAATTCTATCTATACTAGCAGTAAGTGAATATATATATATATATATATATATATATATATATATATATATATATATATATATATATACTACATGGTTTCTCCTTCAAAGTAACCCACCTCGAGTCTAATGCACTTTTTCCATCCTTCTGTGCACTGCTGGAAGAATTTTTCACTCAGCTCTTTATAGCCCTCTTGATGACTTCCACACCTTCAAAAGCAAGATCAGGTGAATAGGGAAGGTGTTTCAGTTGGATGAGGCTCTTCTCAGCCAGGAACTGCTGGATGCTCAGTGTGCTGTGAACAGGTGTATTGTTGCATTAAATCAGCTACAATTTGTTCTGCCACAATTACTGTCTCTTCTCATACACCAAGCAAAGCAAACGCCATAGGATCTCTTGTAGACTTGCTGATTGATCAGCATCTGGCCCTGTGGCATGGACAATACCCATAGCTCAAACAGAAAATTCAATCTGATTACTTTTCCCACAGACATGCACACATATGCATGTAAGCATACACAAGAAAGTCCCATACAGTTTTCATCCTAGCAGAAAAACTCTTGAAAAGAAATTTAACATTTTTCATAATGGATATTTTGCTATATGACCAGTGACAGGAAATCAATTTTTTTTAACAATAGTTTGATTTGTTGTATGGCATATCATTCTCAATGGGTTATTTAATGACAAGATTTTAATTGCTGGTAATTTTTTTTTTTTTTTCTAAAAGTATTACTGGTAATAATCTTTCTTCAAAAATTTATTGTTGGTAATAATTTTTTACAAAAATGGATTGCTGGTATTAAGACCTATTTTTACACTTTCATAGTGTTTTGACCCCCATTTGGGGGGGGAGTTAACTATTTGCCCATAGCTGGGACCCTGGTAAGGCAATCAATTAAGAGGTGGTTCCACACTTCTCAAAACCTCCTGATCACAGGCCTTGCTATCAGATGTAGTTTATCATCTTATCCAGGATGCAAATGAAGTTTATTGTCTTACCCAGGACGGTTTAACAATGGGTTTTTTGTCTATGAAATTATGAATTCACTAAATGTTTCTATTTTTCCCATGGCCAGGAAAAAAGTCACAATTAATTTATAGCAGCCAGTAATAAAGTCATCTATTTCTGTCAAATACTTCATGAATTTATGGGTCCACTCTGTTTCCAATATAAAATTCATTGTAAATTGATCCATTTTCTAAAAAGCATTTTCTAACAATGCTACAGCTACATATTCAATATCTTTTATAGTTAGGGAGTTCTAGTATACCATAAGACCCAAATTTATATGAAGAAAGTCTCAATTTGACATTCAAATTTGAATTAAAAGTTCCTTGAATTTTCAATTTATTTATAAGATTGGCATTTTATCCACTTTTAGGATAAGAGGCTGAGGTTTTGTCTGCTGTCTGCTAACCCTGTTATTTTTTTACCTGGACTCATTTTTCCTATAACAGAATTTAGTTACTTTACTTCTCACCAGTGGCTATCAAATATATTTTTTTTTCTCACTGATTTTCAATTTATTCTCACCATTTTAGCCTTGTAAAATGTCAGTGTTGTTAGATTACAAATTTATAGACAAAAACAAAACATTAGAAAAGTAAATGCAAAAAAATACAACTGGCTATATGACAAGCTCCCTATTTTTATAGAGACGTCATGAAGTAAAATGTTTGGAGCAAAAATAGGGATTCATTTGCTAATGTTCTTGATGAAAGAATATGTATAATAAAAGAAAATAATTTAAAATTTTTTATTTATTTATTTTTTTGTTTTTTTTACAGTAAGGCTTACCCTGTACAAGGCCAATTCCAAAGATGGGATCTTGGGCATTTTACATGTAAATTTGACAAAAAAAGCAAAAAAAAAAAAAGTGGGGGAGAAGAAATATAGTTAACAAAGGTCCCAAATGGTGATCTCTACCTACCCACCCAAACTAGTAGGATAGGTTTTGCTAATATTCTAATGTTTATTCTCATCCACAATGAAGCGCTGAAATAGACATTGAAACCTACATAGGGAAATGGAGAGAGGAAATTTATGACAAGGTTGATAAAAAAAAGAATGTGATGAGAAGAATGAAAAAAGAGAAAGTAAAAAAAAAAACAAAGAATCAAAGATAAAGAGAGACTGAAGGAAAAAGACTGAATGAAAAGAAGAAATTAGACTGTGAAAAATGAATGAAAAAAAAAAAAAAAAGGACAAAGAAATGGAGAGAAAAATAAAAGGAAGAACACTTCCCATCCCCCGGAAAAAATTACTCAAGCTTCAACAAATAAGCTTTTAAGGGAGATAATGGTCTTGAAGAAGCCGTAGGCAGATGTGGACAATTACGGTTGTACATTGCACAGACTTTATATCCCATTTACTAGGCCGTTATAGAACCATGTTTATAGATTAGCCAATAGTTAAATGGACATGGCAATCCATTTTATATGAATGAACAAACAAGTGGGAAGAGCAGATGGTGAGGGACAAAAAAGATGTTGATTAGAGGAGAGAGAGAGAGAGAAATTCTAAAGAAAGACAAAATGAATTATTTCAGTGCATCACAAACAAGGTTACAAGACAATCGAATATGAGAGAGAAAAACAGTAAACAGTAAATCTTGTGAGCATAAAACTACCTACATTATGATGATGATGATGATGACCAACAACATCAACTTATGATATATTAATAATATTTCCATCTCTATATCAGCTCCCTTTCTAGGAAGCTGACAAATGAATTCTTGAAGCCATTCTGATGTTAATCTGGTTCCTATCATAAAACAGACATTTTTTTTTATAAAAGTGTGTGTCAAATGGCTGTGAAATGGTTAGAAACTCAGAAGAAATCGATTTGATTGATGCAATCATTTTTTACAGTTTATCAACCCTTTGCAGTTTATTTAAAGCCAGAAAATATTTTTAGATTGTAAGAATTTTTTCTTTTTTGTGATAATGATTTATTGATACAAGTTTTACTAAGTAACCCATAGATAGAGAGTGGAGAAGAAGTGGATTCATACATACCTAATCAGAATTTGATAAACAAATTATAATGTGGATATAAAGTGGGGGATCAATTTTATATTACAATCAA